CCATTTCTCCACAGGTGATGCGAGCTAAGACAGAAAAGGAGAAATTGAGCCACCTAGACATTGGCTTTCAGTGACGCTTTAAGCAGTCTAGGATTTCCCAGACACCTGCATGGGGTCAGCAGATGTGACACAGGACACAAGGGAGACTTGCACCATGCCGATGGGTAGCTGGATCCCACCTTTGGGTGTCTTAAGTATTAAGGCAACTGAATACTAACTAAGTGACTATATTTACACGTTAATAGCATTTTACAACTTCCAGTAGGAACAATTGCCAGAGGAAGCAAAAACTCTTTTCAGATAATTGTCTGTCAAAACTTGGTTTCATTTGTAAATCAGGAAAGACTGGAGTCACAAACAAGCGGAGATCCCAGCGCTCCTCTGCCTGGTGCTCCTCTGTTTATCATTTACTGCCCGGGTCAGATGCGTATTTGCAGTGATTCCTTCTGAGACCTCCCCACATCAGCTCCCAGCGGACGAGTCTTTGCCRGTGTGAAAGGGCAGAAACAGTGGAAGCGAAATGCACTGAAACCACAGCTTTGAGTAATCCTACACTCAGGCTCCTGCAGTGGTCTCACACAAGTGAGGCTTGTGCACATAAAGCTTGCAAGTAAAGCTAGCACAATTTACACAATTTATCTTTTCTTCATGGTAGACAAAGTTGCTTCTCACTATTAAGCTTTCATCAGTATGATCTTAGGCTGTTTATGCTAATAAAAGTAGATTACTAAGGAAGTTGGTGACTACAGTGCTGCCTAACCTCTTTAAAACTTCATTAATATTTTGATATTTGAKGTAGCATATTCTAACAAAAAGATGCTTTTGACTTTTTCTTTTTTCATGTTAGGACTTTATCCTAACAATTTGTTAATACGCATCTCCATGCTTCAGTAGATGCTTTTATTTATCCATGACACTCTGATTTAAGTACTGTCTTTCAGAATAGCTCCCAACAAACATTTTGAGGGCTCACACTAAGGAGGAAGCAGCCTGAACGGGGACTACCGGGCAGCTGCTCAGACAGATGTAACCAGAGTCAGGGCAGGATCATTCTGCTTTCAATCTGTGCGTTCAACTCTTGGTGTGTTTTTCATCTGGGACTGTCCTTCATGCAGGAATTCCTCCACTTGCAGCAGGAGCGAGGGGATGCCAGGCAGCTCCCACTCTCCATTTCACATCTTGGGTCCGCCCTTTCTTCCTCTCCCGGCTAATAATTTTCTCTTGGTGCAACGTCCCATAGCCCCAGCAGCATAGATGCACTAAGGAGGGAGCTAAGGGTGCAAGCCTGCTAATGCTGAGTGACAGAATTGTTTCTTAGCTTTTTCCTCTTAAGAAAAACATCCTAGGAAATTGCATAACCTGCTTTGATCCTCTTGATAACTGAACTTTAAGATTACAAACCCACACATGGAAAAGCAAGTAAATGCTAGATTTACTACTATGTGATCTTGCTTTTATTTGTGCTACGTGTTAAGATCTAGTCTTAAATTATAAATTATATAAATTACAGTTTCTCTTCTTCCTCCATAGCCAAGCATCATTGCATGCAGTGTGATGAAACAGAAAGGAGTCAAAGTATGTTTGCATGCATAATCATCTGTCCTACCTTAGGATCTCAGTTATGCCAAKTAAATAGCTTTCTCTTGATCTGTTTTAAAAATTGTGCAGACTCCTCCAGCCCTGACCTGCTGGCACTGCTACAACCGCAGCCTTCAGAAGCCAGCAGCTATTCTGCTTTGATGTCTTTCCAACAGCATGCGGAGCATATGCTTCCTCTCTACCCTTCTCACTTGGGAAATCTTTATCTGCCATCCCAGAGGTAATGCGCTCAAAAAAGACCCGGGACTAAATGGGCATGAACACTAAGCTCCTGCCTTGTCCAGTGCTGTTTCCTTCGGCTATCAGAGGTGGCAGAGCTCTGCAGAGCAGGGACGAGTCCATGGGCAGCGTGGGCGATGCTACTGCTGGGAACTGAAACAGACAAACACTCCCCCCATACACACACAYACACACACACATACAACAACATGGGAAATCCAGTGTACCTGAGCTGGCTTGCTTTTTGAGAGTGAAAAGGGGATGAGCCAAAGCACGTGGGCGCCACAAATCCATCCAGGGTGCTTTGTTTCAGGATGTTAAAATAACTAGACTTTCATCAGATTGTCCTAAATCTCTTTGTCTTTAATCTAAGTGTTTAAAAACATGTTTTCATGCTACTATTTTTTTTTTTTTTTGAAGCAGCATGCTTCATTTGTAACTAATTGGGGCACACAGATTGAAGCTCCTAGGTGGAACCAAGTCAGTGGCTGCCCATTTTTAACCTGATATGATACATGGGAGACCTCCTACCAGGATCTTAAGAGGCAGATTAATACTTAACTGCTTAAAGTCAAGGATGCTTGAAACCTGCTCTTTTTCATGTAAATATAGCCCTCTTTTTAATCTACTTGCGGTTCACCAATGTAATCTTTATTCTTGAAATCTTTAACAGGGAAAACGAACGCTACCTGAACCAGATGCTGCTGAACATGCCAGCACACCAGTGCAGCAGTTACGTCCTGAAACAAAAAAATGCCTAATTCCCCCGCAAACAACAAAACTTCAAAGAATATCAAACGCAATTTACAGCCCAGGGGGTGGAGAGGCTTCTTCCCCATCTTTTGTCCTTTTTCTCCAAGGGACAGCATGCTGTTCAGGCAAATGAAACTCCCTCCCTCTTGGGCGCTGGAGACTAGTTCATGCAGGCAGGGATTAGCTAAACTTTTACCATTTGGGAGAAAAGGATGAAGAGGAGTGAGTCTTTGAGATAAGGCTGTATTTTGTCTATGGATGCTTCTCACTGTGTGCAGCTGAGGATTTGCCACCTCATTTTGGTGTCTCCATCCTGCTATCTGTAATTTGRGCATGATAATCATCTAGTGCTTTTCACATGGACGACAAGACTTTGTGCTTTTTCTTATGAACAAACAGAACTTTATGCATGTTCTCCAGCTTATCTTTGCAGATCTAAGATGAAGTAAGAACAAACTCAGAGCAGCAGCTACCTGGGTGAGAACTGGCAAATTAGAAAACCATAACTGGGTGCAAAAACAACCCTGTCCCATTCACACGCTTAAGGATGCCCTCAGGTTAAACTTCTCCCTTTCTAAACATAAGCTCTCAGCGAGGCTCTGAGTACAAGCTGACCCTAAACACCCCAAGGATTTTAAGGACTTGCTGGGATGGTCAGATGGGTACTGCTAAGTGTACCATCAATACAGAACCAGTTTTCAAGCCTGAAGGACACCATTTTGCTAGAGGCTTTCTTTTGTTGCCCATTTCCAAGCATCCCGTATGAGACGGGCTTTCTGAAAGGGCAAAGGGAGCAGAAGAGCAAGCAGCAGCCAGCAGACTTGTTATTAGTGGCAGAAATGGTGACTCTGAATCAACAGGTACTCCTCATAAGCAAACAGAAAATGGCAACAAATCATCCATAAAACGCAGTCAAAAAGGACTTCGTTTAATTAGTGATATGTAAAGGCTTTTGCATAGAAAATAAAAGGTTAACAAGGTAATGCATAAAAGATCGACTAGGTACAGTATTTTTAAAACAAATATTTTAAAGTATATTTTGCATAATGTTTAACATTCTCAATGCTTATTGCTTTCTCCACACAGCAGAGAAATCAAGTGCATAATAATACATGCTGTGTCTTATTTTTATTCTTTATTTTTTTTTTACATAAAATATCTAGTTCTTGACTTGATGTATTAAAATACTTAGGTTATTTTAGGTCATTGTAATAAAAAAATGAAAGCAAAACATTTTATGCAGCACTAGTTGTCTGGGTATTGACAAAATAATTTACTGACATCCCCTTTAATACATTCATTTTGGTTTGGAATCAAACCCACATACAATGTTGGCATGCTAATAGCCAATTTAAAAATTGTCCCTACCGTAACTTCATTCATACCCAGAGAGATCCTTATCCCAGAAGTTGATAGCAGAGAAGAGGGATCTTGCAGAGAATCAGCAAATGTAAATGTCCAAATGCAGCTAAATAAGTTAATTTGAACTTTTACAAAATTGAAACTCTTGTATTGGCACAAATTGGTAGTAAAAAAAGCGTGCACACTTGCAATAGGTGGTTACTGCTGGGCGCACGATAAATTAACTGTACAGATACAAGCTAGCACCAAGTGTGAGCCACAGAAAGGTGCCTCGAGGCTCAGTGGTGGTGCCGGGACGTCCGTTAATCACAGCACCAATAACTGCTTTTACCAATACCCTCCTAGATGTCACAAATTGGCAAGTCTGTACAAAGAAAGGAAACTAAATAAGCAAAATACTAGGCCTGTCAAGTGGATCCTTCTTTCTCAGCAATCTCTTAGCCAAGTAAACGTGTCCGCTCGGACAGCACACTTTTTCCTGGAAACGCATTGAAGTTCGGAAGTTTAATGCAGGATTCCACCTCTCTCCTACATCATTTCCATACCTGTGCAATGTTATTTGTTTTAGCAGAACACACAAATATATATATATATATATATGTGTGTGTGTGTGTGTGTGTGTGTATATATATAAAATAGGGTTTTTTTTACTATTATTTAAAATGTCAGGCACTTGGGCAACTCAACCTTCTTGTCTCGCCTCAGGCGAGGCGGCAGCACCAGCCCTCACCTCCCTGCCAAGGGGGAACGCGGAGCTGGGGAATTGCTGGTCCCGGCGAGCCCCAGGACCCCTTCATGTGCTGGCACGGGCAAGGCGCTGCCCAAGGCGCTGCTGCTCCCGCCGGGTGCCTGAAGCAAAACGAAACGAGACCAACGCATCATCGCCCGCGTGCTCCACACGGGCCGCCGGAGCCGGGACTGCCTTGGCCACCCCTGTGGCGTCTCGAAGGCCGTGTGCGCAGCGTGGCCCTCGCCGAGCTGCGAGGACGCCCAGTGCCGCGCGGTCCAGCGTGCGCTGCGGGACGGGAGGGAGCCAGAAGTGGGTGGGAGAGGGGCAGGGGGAGCCCTTAGAAAGCCCCGACCTCAGTTCCCCAGGGCCGGTAAGGTTTGCTAGTGCCTCCGCTGCTCGTCTGCGGCGGGCTGGACGTGGCGGCCACGGCGAGCGGCGGGGTGATGGCGGTGGCGGCCGCCACGGCGGCGGCAGCGGCGCTGGGGGGCAGCATGGGGAAGGCTCCTGTGAAGGACAGCGGGAAGGTCTGGGCGGCCGCTGTGGCGGCGGCGGCGGCCGCGTGCACGGTCGCYGAGAGGGACAGGAGAGAGGTAGAGAGAGGCGGGACGCAGGGAGCGACGGCGCCAGCGGCGGGCACCCGCAGTGCGGCGTCGGCGTGGGCGAAGGTGGCCGTGAGCAGGGCCGAGCCGTGTGGCGGCATGTCGGAGGAGAGTCTGCACGGGGCCGCCTCGGAGGCGTGCAGCGCGCCCTGCTGCAGCAGCGCCGCCGGCAGGTGGTGGAAGGCGGCCGCCCAGTGGTGCGGGTGCAGTGCGTGGTGGTGGTGGTGGTGGTGGTGGTGCGCCATGGAGGAGGTCATGGCGGCGGCCTCCCGCTGCGAGGCGCAGGTGCTCAGGTGGGACACCAGCCTCACGCGCAGCGGGTCCGACGTGTCCAGGCCCTCCACCGAGGTCAGGTACCTGGCCACTTCAGTCAAGCACTCCCGGAAGCCGATRCTCATGAAGTCCATGGCCAGCGAATGAACGTCGAAATAACCTGCAAGAGGAACACAGCAGAGACACTGAGCGGGGAGCCAACCTCTCAGTCAACACAAGGTGGCACCCGGCTGAGGTGACCCTCGCTCGGCTGCTGACGYACCTGCCACGTGGGGGTTAAAATTTGCAGCAGGAAAAGCTTGCCCTCTGATCTGTAAATGATTTGTGTGACCTTTCCTGTAAGGCAATAGGCTACAGTTGCTCTTGCAAACAGCACGCAAGTGAAAAGAATTAGGACTATAAGTAGTCAAGAGGCTCCAAAAAGCTATATGATGCCTCCCCTGAAATTCCTCAGCGAGCAGTGTAGCATGGACCCCATATGTGTGTGAGAGACATTTATCTACACACAATATACATGCACGAGAAACAGACAGCTTGCACATACTATGCCTGCACTCATCCCGACACTCTTAAAGTCTGCTTCTCGACGCCTTGAGTTGGTTGTTAGAAATACTGCCGGGGTCTCATCTACTTTGTAGAGTCATTAAGACAGTGTGACATACGGTGCTATTTAACTACAAACTGAAAACATCTTGTCATGACTCTGCACACACACAATAAAAAGTTTTGCTTGGGAAAATGTTTTATGTAATGCCATAGCTAATTTGGAGATGGAAGACTGACAGTCATGCAGCTCATGAGGTATTTCAGCAAACAGCAACTGGAGCTGTGCAGGCATGGGACAAAAAAGCATTTAGGGAAAAAAATATTAAATGCACATGAAAAGATACTTGCTTTCCAAAAGCATCATTCCTAGTGCTTAAGCTGTGGCTCTTCAACTACAAAAAAACTATTCCAGTTTAGTTTAAAGCTTGTTCCTTTAGTCAGTAATATCCTATCTATTCCCAAGTCCACTTGATTTCAGTGAAAGTACTAAAATATTCAAATATGTGTGACTGTGATGTTTGTTAACATACATAGATCAAGTAATTTTATTAATAGAGGATTCTGGTAGCAATACTTATATGTAAGCCTTGCACTTTTTGGCATCAAAAATATCTGAATCTTTTTGAAAAATTCCACCAGTTTAGAGAGCTGTTTTCACTTTTATCAACTTTTAAGCTAGAAAAGAGCCTCTCTGTTGCTGCACTTTCCTGCATTGCAGAATTAACYAGGGCACATTTATAGGTGTTGCCCCACACCCCATTTGCCATATACCAGAATTAACGTTCCACTTAAGAGACATTGCCCAAAATCTCTTGTCTGCCATAAACAACTTCTTGCCAAATTCTGATGCTGCTTTCAATGCAAGCCACCTTTCTCATTTGACACCATAAAATGAAACCCAAGAAAAACCATCGCTCAGTTACCTCGCTAATGAGCAGAATGAGTCAAGGATTTTTGTCAGAAAGCACTGATTCCTTGGCTGCATCTTGGCTCCTGGCTGCATCTCAGTGAGCTTGCATCTTGAGAGTGCTCCACTCAAGCTGGGGCTTCCCAGCTTTTCCAGTGAGCCATTACTTGCACAGAACTGGAAATGTGGGAGAAATTGTTGTCTGTTTTCTCCTGAGTTCRAGCTCCTGCCTCTATCACAAGATGTCCCAGTTCCTTCATTATTCTCACTCCTTTAGAGTCAGTCTTCAACAAGGTGGCTGAGACACAATGTCAGAATGGGGTAAGAGCTGGGATTTCCAGGCTTCATTTTGCTGCAGTTGGTAAATTTTTCGAGGTTTCTCCCTTCCACAGGAGATTTAAAAATGACTGGGTTTCTTTCCAACAACCAACAGCATCCCTCKCATCCACACACACGGATGCACGTTTTTCAGAGCCTCGAAATTCTCAGGTGCCGCTTGGCTGCCCAGCAGCTCACCTCCTCAGCAGCCAGAACACAGGCCAAGCCATGCAAAAACTGCCAGCTACCAGCAACGCTGGTCTGAGAATGACCCAGGTGTCAATCACCTGAGTTGACCTTGCTGCCAAGACGCGGTAAACCTACACCGAGACCGCGTCRAGAACGACTTGCTGTCGACGGATCTCGCTTCCTCTTTGCTCGCTTGCACCGTCAGCAAGAAGCGCTGGCCCCAGGCCAAAAGAGCACCTCCATGTCAGCCCGAGACCATTGCCCACACCTGCACCAGGGCAGSACATGGTCCACGGAAGACTTCAGAGACAGCTTAGCTGCCTGCTGCCATGGCTCGAGCAGCAGCCTGCAGCAGGACACGGCACCATGCTGTTTTGCTCTTTTTCTTTTATTATTCTGCCATACTGCCTCAGTTTGAGTGTGCCATAAAGCAGCAGATTCCTCCCCCAGCTTTCCTAGCCCCCTAGGAAAGCCCTGTGCGAGGCATCCTCAGCGTGTGCGAGATGGGGAAGGGAACAAGCTCTCCCTGGCTCTCAGCACGGAGGTGCATGGAGCTACTGGCGCCCATTTCTCCCTTCTAAGTCACTAGCTTTTGTCTGTAGCCTAAAATGATGGGGCTCCTTTTTTTTGCTGATCCAGGGAAGCTTCTGGCTCAGAAAATAAGTTATGAAGCGGGAATAACTATGCCTGGAAGTTACAGAAATGCCAGCCTTAAAAATACCCTGTGAGTTTGTTTTAAAAGCTGTTAGCTAGGTTGCAAAGTAAAATATTAAACAAGCAGGAAATACAGATTTAAACTCTGCCCAATACTAATTTACAAGCTTTCTTTCTTTCTTTCTTCCAGCCTTAAAAATACCCTGTGAGTTTGTTTTAAAAGCTGTTAGCTAGGTTGCAAAGTAAAATATTAAACAAGCAGGAAATACAGATTTAAACTCTGCCCAATACTAATTTACAAGCTTTCTTTCTTTCTTTCTTTCTTTTTTTTTTTTTTTTCAAGTTCCTTAATCTGTACAGTGAGATTACTCTTATCTCCGGGTCAGGAGAAGATAAAACCAGAGTATTTGTGAAAAGCTTGGTGTTATTACTGATGTGCCCCCACCAGGGACCATGGGCTAACAACGTGGGCCCTGAAGGGCGTCAAGCAAGGCTGTGGTTACTCAACCGGRGTGGCCATGAGCAGCCCCCCGCTTCCCGCTGCTTCTTCCTTCCTCAGCAGTACCCTGTGGCAACCGCAGGAGCGCCSGGCCCGGCCGCGCGCCGCCGAGGCGGAGGGCACGAGCGGGAGGCCAAGGAAGGACGTGCCCACTCGGGCTGGGGCTGCTGGCAAATCCCTGYTCGCGCGAGGGTCGCCGGGGCCTGGCAGCCGCCTCTGGGCCCCGTGGCTCCCACGCCAGCAGGTGCGTCCGCGGTGCTGGCAGCCGGGCTGGCGGGACGGCCCGTGGGCCGCGGGTGGGAGCCCGCGCTGAGACATTCCCTGCGCACGCCCTTGTAGGCGAGCGGGCGCGGGAGGAAGGCGCTTGTAAATCACAGGAGGCCTCCGGCCCGGTTTGTCTCCTGGCCCTACCAAGAGCAGCTTGGCACCAGCCTCTGCGGAGAGCTGAAGCCTTACGAGAAATGATGCAGAGCCACGGCATAAAGCAGGGATTGGCAAGGGGTAACTGAGCCACACAGCCAAGACAGAAAGAAATAAGAACCTTTTTCCTGAGTATTTGACCTCTGTTCATCCCGTGCCCCAAACGAGACAGACCTTGTGGAAACAAACCCGCCGTGCAATCATGCAATGAGGACTGCACYGCCACACGCACACGCAAGACCATCTGAATGGGAATTGCACAAGCACTGTAAATCCTGGCGTTTCACAATTTGCAAGAACTCGGCTTTACTGACTGTATATTATCCTTTAAACAAAGTTTCTTCCTGCATGGGTCAATATAAAAATGTAAATCATTTTTTAGATTTAATTTTCCATATTTTCCTAGGAATTGAGGTGTATCTGTTAGATGAAAGCCAACAGAATTGCCTTTTCCTCTGATAGTATTAACTATCCACAAATATTAAGTTTCAGTTGACTGCTAGGAAAGGCCTCTGAACATCTAGAATATAGGCAAATCAGCTGTGCATTAATTAAAAAATAAAAACAAAAGAACAGAACATCAGCCTTCTTCATGCTTTCCTGTGCCTTTTGCTGTTAAGTATATGCTAGTTATAAATTGAATTCTATAATTACTGCAAGGTACAGAGAGGCACAGTAATTCAGTCATGGACTAAAATTTTATTTATTTATTTATTTATTTATTTACTTATTTATTTTGTTAAAAGAAAAAAAATAGGAAAAGGGAAGATAAAAGGCACTGTCAGCCTCCCACGTGGCAAAATGTGGCAGCGGAAAGTCACGTGGTTGCAATGCCAGCTCTTTGAAGTGTACAGGTAATCCAGGTTAATGGCACAGGACACAGGACTATGCCAGCAGACAGCTCRCAAGTTTCTCACTCAAAATACGTTCCAAAATCGTGACTATACAAAATACCTCGTGGGTGGCTGAAAGCATTTGGCCTCGAGCCTCGGCACTGTCAGCTTGCACAAGTGAGGCACGCAGGATGCCCGGCACGGCTGATCTAATGGGTCAGCTAGTGCAGYCCCCGCGTCACGCCAGCACTGACTAAGAAGGGGCGACGGACACACAGCTCCAGCATGTAAATACGTGTGCACATTGCACTGCTATCAGTCTGCCCGTCTATTTTATCTGATTCCTAGCACTGCATACAGCAAGACTGGGGTCTGTTCTGGCAAACGAGACGGTCCAATCTTGCATTTTAAAGTCTTTCCAGAACAAAGAAAAAGCATAAACAATATTGAAAGTTCCTCTCCATCCACTTCCTTTGGTATAGGTCCCGTGTATCGAGTTTTAGCATTGGTTTTGTGCTGCACAATTGTTGCCACAAACCTCCTGTTTATGTTTGGTGTTTGTGTATTTGTTTTGTCTCCCTGTGCAGATTTCAGTGCTCTTTGGAAACCCCAAACAAATCTCTGACTGGGCTGCCTGTGAATGAAGCCTTTACTCCCACAGTGTTATGAAAGCAAACACAAGCCCAGGGTCAAGTGCTTCTTTTGTCCCAGTAGTTCTTTCCCACGAGTTCAATCCTGCCATTAGCATTGATTTCCACTCCTTTAATCTGGAAACGCCTATCACAGCTCGTCAAAGCACTTTTTTTTTTTTCCAGAGATTTACCAAAATATGAGAAAAAAAAATAGCATCATCTCCTTACCTTTACCTCCAGTCGCCTGAAGCATCTTCAGATGATCCACCGTCATTTGCAATATTTCCGCTTTTTCTAATTTGGCAGATCCCTTCGAGATAAGAAACTTGTATAAATAAAGGCTTACAAGTGGTAGAAACTTTAACTTGATACACTTGCCGCTGATCAACCTTATGGTTTCAATTTCCCCCTATCACTAGGACCTTCTCAGCTTAATTTCTTTGTGAGCATCTGCATCCCAGACCTCGCCTCAGGCCCGATGCTCTCCGTGCCTGGTGACAGATGCACCAGCACGACAATCTTGCTCTACTAAGGCTGTAGCTCAGAGCGACGCTGGCCTTGAAGTCTGTGYAGACGCAAAGTCTTCACAAAGTGAAATAAGCACGCAGCTTTCAGCAATTTCTCCTTAAACACACGGGCAACCAAATGAAAACACAACCACGGCACGGCCAGGCTGCAGGGAGATTGATAACGACCCTTCTGCGACTTCGCTTGCTGCTTTTACCGGTAGGTGTCCCTGTGGACACACACCGAAAAGTATTCCCCTCTCCTAATAGCCCATTATTTTTTGACATGTCCTTTGGCGCCTGGATATTGTATTTGTGTTCCCTATTGAAAAAAACAAAACAAAACAATCACRCAGTCCAGTTTCTCAAATTCTCGAGAGGCCTCGTTTGCAGGGGTCTGAAGCAAAGCACTGTGGAAAGGCAAAGCTTAGCTGCCCTCTCGCTGCCCTCAGCGAGACTCTTCCGCCGCTACGGCTGCCTCATCGCGCAAAAAGTACTAAACACGAGTCTGAAAGCAGCATTAATCTGTAAATAAAATGATTCTGTGTGGCAGCATTTCCTTGATTATATGCCCAAACGGCATGTATTTGTCATGCCCAAACGATCAAATTGAACTCCGAAATACTACTCGAGGGGAAGGGATAATCCACAGGTACTGGATAAAACCAGCTCCTCGGAGCCGCGCAGACGTGGGCCACGGCAGGATGGCATCCCGYGAGCCCAATCCCACTCCGAGCCCTCGCCCGCGGAGCGCCGGCAGCCCGGGAGGTTCAGCTCRGAAACAAGGTGTGAGTTACACCATCCCCTGCAGCTCCGCGACACAATCCTTAATTCCCCAGGAAGGGATCGTGGAGAGCACCACGGAGATTTGGGGAGARAAAGCGGACCTGAAACTAAACGTCCCCCTAGGAAGCTTCAGGGAGCCGAATGTCACTTTGTCCCTCGCGTTTTACCGGAAAAACAGTGGGGTTTCCTCGAACAAACTGCACCACATACCCATTTTCACGGCACTATATGTTTTTAAAATTCAGTTATTGCTTTCAGCGTTTCATCGTACAAATTTTGGGGCACTGGTGAATTTCCGARTAGAATTTTGTGTTTTACGTGCAATTACATCCTGTGCTTTCCTCGGTCTCAGTCTTTTCCACAGACACAGTACAAGGCGTCTCAGTGAGAGTGACTAATGGCTAAAAACTGCATGTTGCTGGGTAATTTCCAAGGGCTTTGTAGGACTTGTTTTATAATGTTTGTGGTTTTCAAGAAGTAAACAATAAAACGGGACAAACAACTGTTGTCTCTTGTCCCTATTTCATCTAGCTGAAAATACCTCTGTCATTCCGCTCTGTCTGAACCTGTGGAATGGCAAAGCTAGGGCTATTAGTTATTAAAGAGTATTGCAGGCGACAAAAGTGATGCTTTGACCATGCTTAAAATTTCTTTTAAAAGAAGTTTTAAATTTCTCTGCTTAAAATTTCTTTTTGTTCAGCTTCTGTTCTAACCGGTGCTGTAAGAGGCCAAGACAATATGGTGCTAGCCGCGCTTTGATAACACAGAAATTCAGCACCTCACCGTCTAAACTCTTTTTTTATTTTAAATTACAGGGAGATTGGCTTCTTAATTTTCAGGTTTCTTTTACTGAAACTTACTGACAACCTTCAAATACATTCAGTAAAACAGGAACTATATTAAATACTGAAACTTAACCCAAGGAATACAAGTAAAGATATGACAAAATAAATAAATCATTTAAATTGAATGGAGTAAGCATGATATGCTTTTTACAGGACAGTCTTAGGTCAGTGACTTCGTGACTACGGAGCTGAACCAAAGTTCACTGAAGTCAGCTGGATCCTTCCAGCCTTCCCATGGAATACATTCCCATTGGAAGTCGTTGAAAGCACCGCTCACCACCCCAGTTCATGGTGTTAGGCCTATTCCCACTCTTAATGTGCTCTTTCTAAAAAGTCATTTAAAAACTTGAATAATCTAGATAGTCTAGTCTCTTTTTTTTTTTAGGACATTGGACTGCCGCGCGCACAACYCGAATGAAAAATAAAGGCTCCTTAAAGAAGGGACGATGAAGGCTGTAGTTAGACACAGCGATAATTGACATACAGGTTTGTTGTTGTTACTTTTTTTTTTCTTTTTTTAAATAGGGAGTAAAGCACATTTTAAATCAAAACCACTACTGGAATTCATTGAAAGAACAGAGACAACACGAGCACTGTTACCCTTAAGGGAAAAARCAAGCCAAAGAATGGAAATGTTTTTCAGCTTTATGATGAATTATGTTTCTAATAGTTTTGCCACAACAAAGCATTTTATTGAAATGCCTGCTTTGTGCCAGATCAGGACACATACAATATTATTTTAATGAGCTATACAAGAGAACTAACATTGCCAGATGAGATACAGCATTTAAAAAAAAAAAGAGGGGAGGGGGGAAAAAAGGGAAAAAAAGGCTTACTTGTTTTTCAAAAGCAGTTGGCACAAGCCGCCTCAGCTCAGATAAACTGTTATTTATACGATCACGGCGCCTTTTCTCTATAATCTAGTCCCAAAGAAACAAAACATATTAAGTTTACAAAAAGCGCTCAAGGCCAAAATCACAGCACGCATGCAAACCGTCACGCGGCGGAAGCGCTGCAGGGCACGTACGTACCCCTCTCCTTTTCTTCCTGGCCATAATCTGCGAGGTTGTCGTCGGGGAGCTGGAGCGGCCCACGGAGCTGCTGCTCTGCCTGCGAGGCGGGAGAGCGCGTCAGGTGCTGCGGCACGGCGGGACGCAGAGCGCCCACGGCGGCTCCGCCACGGCCCTGCACGCGCGGGCCGCACGCTCGGCCTCGCACGGCGCCTGCGATGGCCCGGGACGGGTCGCTCGCCTTGGGTTGCCCCCGCGCGTGCTGGGGCTGCTGTGCCCCACACCGAGCCCCTTCTGAAGGAGGGTCACGCAGCTGATGTGGCTTTCACCACAGTGCTGAATATATAGAGATATTCTCATATATATATATATATATATGTGGTGGTATGTGTGTGTATATATATACACACACACACACACACACACACACACACATCCCTAGGGAATCTCTAGGAGAAGCAGTCTGAAGGGCAGGGTCCCCCAAAATGTGAAGCATTCATGCATGGCAACAGCAATGGTAATTGTACATTACATATACATGGTGTTATATATAGGTATAATGACACAATCTCTGCCTGGCCTGCCAGGTTTTAACATCCCTGTGCATCACTGCAGCGGCCAATTTCCGCTCACACAAGTGAAAAGCTAGTTACCCTGCRCAAATCAGCCACACGGCCCCGTATCGGGAAAAGCACTTCACATCCACGTTGGGAAGCGCGCTATGGGATCCATGGGATCGCTTTCGCTTCCCGAGGGGAGCCGGAGCCCGCAGCACCTCGGGCGCTGCCAAAGGCTGCAGCCCGCCCCGCACTGCCCCGCAGCAGCCCCCGCAGCAGCCCCCGCTGCCCCCCGCGCACAGGGGGGGCCGCCGCGGGCTCCCCTGCCCTGCGGATCCCTCCGCGGGGGCGGCCTGGGGGGTCGGGAGGGCAGTTCAGCGAGGCCGCACACGGAGGGGCGGCCACCCGCGGGAACCGAGGCTCGGGGAGGCGGGGGACACGGCCACGCACTCACCCCGAGTAGTTATTCTCGCTGCCCACGTCTATGGTCTCGTCCATGTCGCTGTCTGAGGTAGTTTCCTCGCAAGGTCGCTTCATGGCGGCCGCAGCCGGCGGGTCCGGGGCAGGCGCGGCGAGATGAGTAAATCCGGGGGGGCTGCAGCACGGCAGGGCACAGCACGGCTGGGCTCGGCTCGGCTGGGCTCGGCTCGGCTCGGCTCGTGGCGGCGGGCGCAGCCGCCGCGTCTCTCTGCGGCGCGTTCCCACGGCGCGGCTCAGCCTCAAGCGCCACGTCCCGCCCCCGCCACGCACCGCCCCGTCGGGGCGCGGAGCGGAGCGGAGCGGGGCGGGACCCCCCGGCCCGGGCACCGCGGCCGCCCCGGGGCGCGTGTCCTGCCCTGCCGTCCCCAGGCGCGGGGGAAGGGAAGGGAAGGAAGGAATAAATAAATAAATAAATAAATAAAGCGCGATCTTGCTGAAGGTGGCGGGGCGGCGGCGGGGGGAGGCTGCCCCGGGCTCGATCACAGGGTTTGGGGACACGTTGCTGCTCGCAGGGCTGGGTCGGTCTCGTCCCCCCGCCGTTCGTCCCCCAGGAAGAAGGGGCCTGGGGGCCCTTGGCGCGCGCGGGGCTCCCGGCGGCTCCCGGCTCCTGGCGGCGGTAGGGGCGCAGTGTGGGAACGACGCCGGTTGGGAAGCATTGGAGGAAGCTCGGAGGCTCAGTTACCGGCGGACCCATAACAGGCGGGTTTCGTTTTACTTTTGTTTTGGGATTCCTCCCCCGCGCCCCAGTTTGTTTGTTTTGCGCTCCCTGTTCCGGATTCCTGACCACATGCACCCGGGGCAGCTTCTCCAAAATCTCCTCGGTGCCGTTGAACTCCGGTGATTTGCCCCTCTCCCCGCGACCCGCCGCCACCTCTCCCACCCTCTCCAGGACCGTGGGGGCCGCGGGCAGGGACGGCGGGATGCGCCGCGACGGCGACACCCCTCCGCGAGGGGCGCGGATCCCGCCCGCGGGCGCCGCGGGGCCCCGCGCCCCTCCGCGCGGCCTCGGGGCTGCCCCCGCGGCGGCTCCTGCCGGGTCGCGGCCCCGGCGCCGCCGCTGCCCGCGCGGGCAGGGCCGGAGCGGCCCCCGCTGCTGCCCACGCGCGGGCCCCGCGTGTGCCCGGGCGCCGCCGCCCGCCCCGGTTTAGCCGCCCACGGAGCCCTTTCCCCACGCGGCCAAGTCCCGCGCAAGGTGCCGGTGGTTCTGCCTGTCCGGGGGCGTGCGTGCGAGCAGGGGCCGCGTTGAAAGAGAATCCCGCGCCAGCTCCCCTATTTATTTATTTTTTCCCCTTTCCCACTAATACTCTCCACATTGGCGATTTTATTTGGTGGCATGTGGAGTGTTGGCGCTTTCATGTGGATGCCGCCGCCGCCGTGTAAGGGAACAGCGGGGATTTGGAGCCTCGTTGCGCTGCCGGGACGGCCCTGCGGTGCCCGCGGAGGTGGCGAGAGAGCCGGGCGAGAGGAGAGGGCACCTTCCCCGSCACGGACCGCTCCAAGGTATCGGCCAAAACACACAGAGTAAAGAAAATGAAGGGGGCAAAATAAAGCTGACCAAAAATGTATTAGGGCGCTTCAGGAGAAATGGAATAGTAGAGAGGGAAGCACGCGGTATCCAAGTTCAGTTTGAAGCAGCACTTYAGAAATACGGGAGTGGACTTATTTTTTTATTTTTATGTATTTGCTTTGTGTGTATCTGTGTGCTGTTTGGATGAAATTTCCTASTTAAAAATAAATAGAGAACTAAATACAAATGTCCTCTGGCTGCGTGTCCTGTAGCAGCACAGCRGAGCCGCCGGGCCAGCCCGGGAAGCTGCTTTTCAAGGGGCCAGACCGGGTAGGTCTGCATTTAAATTCAGAGTACATGTGAAGGCAGTGCCCCTCACCCGGGCTGCAGCTGAGCGAGGGGTGCCTGGAAACCTTTCCGAAACGGGGCGCCTGAGGAAGGAGGTGCTTCTGAGTCCTCGCTAAAACAATTTGGTCATCCTGGGATATTCGTGCATTTCCGATTCRCCTCAGGGAAGTCTTTGCATGGAAATCTCTGGTGTCCCAGGTCAGCATTACTGAACTTGTAATTTGTGCTCACTTTGGTCATCCTTCTTGTAGCCTTTCAATACATACATATATATATATATATAATATATATATATATAAAAAATATATATATATATCTTTTCTTTTTTTTTTCCTAGGGCACAAGTCTCCTGTGCGTTGTTTGCTCCTATGGAAACCTGAGCCAGCCTATGCTTACCTGGCCAGGTAGGGCTCGTGCCAGTGTTGTTTGCCATGGGTCAAACTACAAAACTCTCCTGGCACCTGGCTCAAGTCCCTCCCCTGGGAAGCTGCAGGTCGGAGCGCCGTGTCCACAGCCTCGGTGTTAGCGAGCGCAGCCGGTGCCTGAAGCGAAAGGAAAGAAGGGAGAGAATAAACAGGGTGTCGCTCCGATCGTGGTTGTGCACTGTGGTTTTATGGCAGCTGCCTGCTCCGCGGGGAGGGCAGGAGCGGGCGCCCGGCCAGGTGAGGCAGGTGCCTGCAGTGGGGGTGCTCCGTGCCGCCCCACGGGGCACCGCGCACGGGACGGCGACCACCCCAGCCCCGGGTCTTGCAGGGCTCCCTGGGGCAGGAGTGGGGTCCACGCTCATGTCTCCTGCAGCTCCAGGCGGTGTCTGTTGCAGAGGGGTTACCCGCTCTGCTAGGAACAGCTATGTGCCCACAGTGTGGCCCGGAACTATGAGAAATGCATTTTTCCTGATACATTTTTTTTCCCGATATGGAGATAAAAATAAATCGATAAAGGTAATAATAAAAACGCACTGACTGGTAGTTACTTGCTGTGCCCTGTCGGGGCTGCCCCGCACTGACACGGGATAGCAGAGCAGCTCAAAGGGAAGGCGCCCTTGCCGCGGTCCCACAGAAGGTGCTGAAACTCGCATTTCCTACCCCAAAACCGACGGGCTGGGCTCTGCCACTTGCAGGGTGTGTGTGCGAGGGCAGGCTGTGTCACTGCCTGCCAGCAGCAGGGCCCGATGCGTGAGAGGGCAGGTGAATTTGCTTTTCTTTCCTTTTTCTTTTTTTTTTTCTTCTTTTTCTTTTTCTCTTTTTGTTACTTTTTTTGTTACCCTTTTTCTTCCTTCTTTGAAAGTTGTGGTGCAAATAGCAGCTTCATGTGGCTGCCGGTCCTGGAGGGGCGGAGGAGGCGGTGGGTCACACAGGGCCAAATTGTGCAGCAGTGACTGGAGCCTCTGTGAAGCCCCTGGCCCCCGTTGAAGGATTATTTATTTATTTATTTACATGTGGCTGCCGGTCCTGGAGGGGCGGAGGAGGCGGTGGGTCACACAGGGCCAAATTGTGCAGCAGTGACTGGAGCCTCTGTGAAGCCCCTGGCCCCCGTTGAAGGATTATTTATTTATTTATTTATTTATTTTTAATCGGCTTGTGAAATAAGGATATTACTCTCTGAATCTATAGAGCCTTGCCTGACAGAGAGAAGGAAAGCTCTTTGTACCCCCTTGCCAGTTCCCCCCCTCCTGGAAACTGAATATGACATTGACTTTGGTCAGAGCTTTGCCAACAATTTCAGGATATGCCCTTTTATGTAGCAGTAAGCTGTTGAAGATTAAGTAGTTAGGAGATTTTTAATGAACTTTTCAAAATGAGCCTGCTCAAAGCGCAGCAGCCTTTACCCAACAGCTCTCTCCAAGGGGGTTCAAGATTGTCCCGAGCTTTTTGTTTGACAGAGAAGGCACTTAAACTCACAGGCTCAGAGCTGCATTTTATACTTGGTACCACCTCCCCTTTAAATCAACCGTCACATCTTGTTTCCTTCTCTCTGTGAGCAGCCTCTCAGGAAAAACTACTCTCTTACCTTTAGGTTACTTAACTCTTAACAGAAGGCTTTAAGAAGAGTAAGGAAAGATCATTAACATTCAAAGACTATTGGCAATGAAACTGCATTTTCTTCTCAACTTCTCATTAACTGCTAGAAAAAAAAAAGATTGAAAATCAGAGAGCAAGAGGAGAAAAAAACTTCCTAGTTTTGTCCCTGGTAGGATTATAACTAAAAGATTAAATTGATTTCTAGCTAAGTTCATGCCAAGGCAATAAGCACAGAGTGGCGAAAGAGCAAAGAACAGAAAAGAGCAAAGAACGGAGGAAACCAAACACTAAGGCTCTGAAGGAAATAATGCTCAGAAAAGCTGAAGAGACTTCAAAATATGTGGCTTTGCCCTGACAGTGACCGCATGCACAGGTGGAAGTGGATGTGCAGCATTCCACAGATATTTTTGCATTGTAAAGGAATATCCGACTGTAGCTGGACTGCACGCTCTACCAGCAGGTGAGCGCAAGGGCTGGTGGATTGGCTGCCGCTGCATTGCTACAGCAGTCAGTGCTCTGCCCTGACCCGAGCTGCGTGCAGTCACACCTGCAGGTCCTTTCAGCTTCCTTCCTTCAGTCTCAAGAAATAGAAAAACTGTGCAGAGACCTGCTTTAAGAAACTGCAACTTCATGTTGAGTAAGAGTACGAGGAAATAGCAAGCAAGGGAGATGCAGTAGGTGTTTATAAATCTTTCTCAGTGACATCTTCTAATGGCTGTCATTGAGTTWCACCTCTGCAAATCCACTGATCGCCCTGTTCTGCTTTCCCACTGCTGGAGCAGGCTATTKGGCTTCATGCTAATCACGGAAAGCTCCACATTCCCTTGCAGTATGTCACCCCATTTTCCTGCTTTTTGTAGCTACAAAGACCCATGGATGGGTGACATTTCCTGGGGACCTCCATCATTAGGAGCTGCATGTTTGTGCAGTCCTCCYATTAAATGCATGCAATGCTCCCCCTCACCAGCTGTCACTACTCTCTTGGTGGCAGTGGAAAGACAAGACCTCCCTGGATTGCACCAAGGGAAGCGTCCAGGGCTGGGCAACCTGGTGATAGCGAGGAGGGTTGAGCAGCAGCCGCAAGACAGCAGATGGGCTGCAGGCAAGGATGAGCCATGCACTTGGAAGTCTTATCCTTATCTTTTTTTCCACCTTTTTGGACTTTCTGTGGCACCTCAGGCATGCTGGATAATTAATTCAATTAACAAAAGGTGTAAATTAAACATTTACTGTGAA